GAAGTAACAGAGGTTCACATCTAAACCAAAGAAGTTCTTTTAATAGCTCTGAAATTTGAGCATTCAAATGAATATAACTTTATCCTGGGTAATATCAATGCAATAATGGGATTTTATATAATTTTTAGACTTCTGGTCTCTAAACATTTTATATCTAAACAAGGCATATCTTCGACTTCTCCACTATTCTGTTTTTATTTGGTAGGAGTGTCAGTCAGTCCCAAGGCTTTTATTTCCCCCCTCTTCTTCACCTTCTTGAAGACAGGTTTATACTAAGAACCATCCTCCGGATTTTTTCTTCGTTCTTTAGAATATTAGCTTTTACAGCACAGATCTTGTCTTGCTGGTCTTTAATCAGCTGTTCCAGTTCAGCCAGCTCAGCTTTTAATGGCTCTACAGCACTGTCTGTGATGCTGAAAGAGACACAAAGAGCATCCTGTTACTAGAAACATTATGCTGCTTCTGGTGACTTAAGCCTCTGAGAAAGTACATTCAGTACCTGAAAGTTCACAAAAAATTTAAGTTGCCCCCACCCTTCCTGAGAGAAAGTTTAGAATAAGATGCACAAAGGCAAAGCTAACAACACAGACAGAGGAGAATATTGTTCAAGAGACATCACCCACAGCTCAACAGTAAACAGGCGCTTCTTGGATGATCTAGTTTTTCCTGCCAAAATCCTTTTTTCTGCTCAAATTCTACTAAAAACTACTTTGAAGTTATTTCATCCCACACTATGAATACGGTAAGCACTTCTTTCATTTTACCTGGCCAAAAGCTGCCCCAGGCATGAAGCAGCACCTGACTCTATGGGATATATCACAACAACGACCAGAGAAGCTGTGGATCATACAATCATAGAATGGTTTGGGTTGGAAGGGACCTTAAAGATCATCCAGTTCCAACCCCCCTGCCATGGGCAGGGACACCTTGCACTAGACCAGGTTGCTCCAAGCCTCATCCAGCCTGGCCTTGATGTGGATGCCCCATCCCTGGAAGTGTTCAAGGTCAGGCTGGATGAGGCTTGGAGCAACCTGGTCTAGTGCAAGGTGTCCCTGCCCATGGCAGGGGGGTTGGAACTGGATGGTCTTTAAAGTCACTTCCAATCTAAACCATTCCATGACTCTAAGGACACCCAGCTTCTACAGGGGCCCCTGGGCCCTACCACGACACACGGTAACAGCCATCCCTGTGGGCCTCACCCTAAGAGCTTGAAGATGAGAAGCCCGTGGCAGAGAGGGGCAAATACAAGAGCTGCGGAGGCTGCTGGCCTCCTACCAGCTATTTCCTACAATAAACCAGCAAGCCGGCACCAAGACACCAGTAGCACCAAGCTATAGCAGGTGGATGCCTGGGAAGAGGCAAGGTGTAAGAAAACTGACCCATCACTAGCTGCCGACCAGGGCAGGCAAGCCCACGCTAGTAGGGAATTCAATAAATCCTGTGCCTCTAAACCACAAGTACACTGATGGATCCGAAGCAAACGTGTAGCTTTAAAACAAACGTGCCCCCTTCCATAATGCTTTGCTGATCTTCAGGAACGCTCAACAGCCAGGGAAATGACAGAGGGAACTAGCCTGCTGTCATTCTGAATTACCCAGTCACTTTGAGGGCTCATTAAAGTCTGCATTTCAAAATCGTTTAGTTTTCCCCTCCTTTCCACCACATTAGCATAAATCACGAAAAGCATCACTGGAAATTGCACTAACATTCCCCCACGGGTTGCCCTCAATTGTCTTTCACAGAAGCAAAGAAAACAAAGACACGCATCCAAATTCCAGTACATATGGGAAACATTGTCTTCTTCATGTCTGATACTCCGTAATTCTTTCCTGAAGGATTGGGCATGCCGTAGCCCTGCGCTGATCTGATCAGGATCTCATACGAAAGCTGGTGAAGTGCAGGGACACGCTGCGGCCATCTTTGCTCGCGGAAGGGAACCGAGCGGCCCTGCTGAGGGGATGCTGGCCTGCCCGCGGTCCGGCACGGAACAGCTGGCCCTTGCACGGCTTGGCCTGACATACATCTGCAAACAAAATCAGCTGGGCAGTCCCTTCTTCCCACTCCCCCTCTCCTGCACCACTGTCAAGGAGACACTCTTGTCCTTACATGTTGCCAAGGGGCTTGGGGGACGCACGAAGCCAGCAAAGCTGAAGTATAAATGACTTGTTTGGCAAGGCCAAAGTGGATCCGCTGAGTAAGCACATGCCTGGAGAAAGGCCTGAGACTTGCTGCCTCTCGCCAGGAGCGGTACAAAGGCGAGTGAGTCAATGCCTCAGTTTCTCCAACCATAAAGCCAAATACCACTTCCTTTCCCTTCGCAGGAGGGGTGCATTCAGAGGCCAACCAGAGTTTTAAAGCCTGTCACGGCTTTGGGATAGAAGGTGCCGTGTAAGTGCACAGAATCAACATCATTACACTTCACAGGTGAACCAAAGCTCTAATTCCCACCCCAGGCCGTGGACTAAGCCAGCAGCTGTAAAATTCCAGCACTTCACAGGTTGCGACCTACGGAGACGGGTCTTGGCTAAGAACACCTCCCACACTTGCTTCTGCATGGGTGAAGCACATCGATTCGGGGGGCAGCACATCTGCTGACTGTGAATGCAAGACGACCGGCCTCTAGTTCATGTTTAAGATCAGAGGACACACAACTGGAAGGGACGTTCTGTTTTCAAGGAGCATTAGGGCACTCTGGTGAGAGAAGTAAAGCCAAAAAAACCTGTTTCTAGGCTTGACCTCCTTGTTCCTATTACACACGTCACCTTCACTTCCCTGGCTTTCCCATGTTGTTTTTTAACCTCGCACAGACGACAACTGTTCTTACCACCACCACAGAACACGCTGAATTCAATGGCACAAAGAGAGCAGGCGATAAGGTAGGAATCCACTCCTAGTCCCGATTCAAAACCTACTGTGTTTACTGAGCTCTTCCCCCGTTGCTCGTTATGTATTTGTGAGAAGAAGAAAACAAATCAAGCCCTCTTGTATCACACGAACATTCACATCTCTGCTGTCATGTACATCATGTGAAATCGAGCTTGAAAAGACCTTAAGACTTTAACACTTCAAAAAACAATTCAGACTGCAAAAAAAAAATCCCCAAACCACAAAAATGACTGATGACAAATTTGCTTTGAAAAGTAAGTAAAACTCTCCGAAACTACGAAAAACAGAAATCTGTCTCCAGAGATATATCAAACTTTCCCTGACCACACTCACCTTTGCTCTTTCTGCAGAGCTTCTGCGTGCTGTCTGTTCTCGTCTTGCCACATCTGCAACTCGTTCTTCATGGCATCCATGTCTTCTTGAATGTAATCCATGATCCTGCCAAGTGTCAGGGCACTCCGGCACAGAGTCTGAATAGAGACCTGAAACTTCTCAATTTCTTTGGCTACCAAGTCTCTCTCTTTCTTCCTAGCTGCTTCCGATACGTAGGGCTTCTCCTAATAGAAAGGATGAACAAGAAGAAAAGCATCAAGACTAGGGAAAACAGTCGTTGCATTGAATGAAGGATGTTTCAGAGATTGCTAACTCTGAAGGATCTGGAGAAATGTTTATGAAAGTCTGCAATAACAGAGAAGAAACGAAGCCATAGCCGGGCAAGAGATGAGCAGAAAGCATGCCATAGCCAAGTCATCACTGCTAGAGGGCTGCTACAAAGCTGTGCAACTGCATCAGCACTATTAAGTTGCTTTCCAGATCACAAGCGCGCAAAAGTAAGATCAGTATTTGATCCCACAAATGGTCTCACTCATGTTCTCATTCTCGACGTGACCTATCCCAAAGCAGTGGGTGTAGGGGTGGGGGGACAACCTCCTTCACATTCAGTCACAGATTACTTCAATCTATTTCTATATATTGAAATGGAAATTTCCGTGGCTTAATGTGGCATCGTTAAACAGAAGCTCTCAACAGACACGTGATCCTCAACGACACCGTTGTTATCAATCTGCTGCCACCACTGGCTGTCAACACATTTGCTGTGTAAATCAGACATCCATCCATCCTCCCCGCGTCACTCCAGAGCCCTGCGCCAGGATTGGCATTTACTCAATACTGCTGCAAGTCGCCGCGTGCAAAATCTGAGAAGGAACCCACTGAAAAAGGTGGTTGTTAAATTCTGGAGAAAGACAATTTTGGAATTTGAAAGGCAGTAATTGGGAGAAGCAGAAGCACTGCTGATGTTGTACATGAGCCTACAAGTCATCACGTTGTAGGCTTCTGCACCACAAACATACATTGGACCTGCTTGCCACGGTGTTGTGCTGCTGCTCAGGAGCTACAGTGGGTGCTGAAGGGCACAGCCTCCTTCAATTCCCTAAATCCGTTCCTTCAAGATGCTCCTCTCCCTCCGCTGTCAGTACCTGGATTTCCAGCTCCTAACGCTGGTCCTAATAAAAGCGCTTCACGCTGCCCAGCTAAACTAGACGGCGGTTATTCCGTGCCGTGTTCTTCTGTTAACAGTGGTTGTAAAATCATGCAGGCTGCAGATGTGGCCTCAATAAACTCCACTACTCAAAAATAATTTGGTCTTGTGCACGCTTCCCTCATGTGCAGCCAGCAGAGTCCCTGCGGTCAATCTCCTGAAGCCTCCTAGCTCACTGCAAGTTAGACACAGGGAAAGTGTTTTGCTAAAGCGGCGAACGAAGAGCAAGAGGATGCCGTAAAAAGAGCAGAGCGATGCCACATTACTAACACACTGCACTCATCCTATTCCGGGAATGCCTTCCATGAAAACAACGATCACTGTTAAAGAAAAGTCCACTGGGTTTTTTCTCCCCCCAGTCAAGAAAAACAACCTAATTTTCCTTTCTTTCCAAGAGCCCTACAGGTCAAATTCCCAAACTGAGTTTTTAAGACACAAAATGCTTTAAGTAAACTTTATTTAAAGTCATTTCACTCACTTAACGTATGCCGGAAAACTAGACAGGTCTTTCTCTACCACCCCAACGGCAGGATCGACCCATCCCGACGCGCACTTCCTAGCGGCCATATACACAGAGAGGTGGCAGCGTGCTGCTCTCTCGTGCTGGGACACCAAACCTACCATGCTGTCCCCTCCTGCCCTCCTGCCCAATTGGCCTGTCTTCCTGTGCGAGCTGGGGGCTGTTTGTTCAGCTGCGTTTGGAGGCAGCAGGGACCACTGCCAAACACATTTCAGCGGCCCTTGGCTTACTGATGAACTCATATATGTGTGTGTGTATATATATATTTTTTTTTTTTAGAAAAATACTTCTAAAGATTTGAAGGCTGAGATTTACTTACGTCTCATGCCTGTGTTTTACCACACACGTGGTGCATGAAAACTGTTGGGCTTCTGAGTTTACTGCGGCTTTATAAAGTTGTTTAATTAGGAACTGGGCTGAAGCGACAAACGCTGCTGAACTTGTGACCTGCGCTGCCTAAGTCAATTCGTGAGTGCTGGCTAAACTGTTAAAAATAACACTCATCTGAACTCCTTCTCACTCCACCCCTACCTCTCTCAGAGAAGCAGGTGTTTCATTACACTACGTTACATAAAACACATTATTTAGATAGTTTCTAGAGCCATCCACGTGTTTGCTATCCTTTAGGACACAATGATGAAAGCGCTGCTTCTTGACCCATTTCATCCCCCAAGAGCTGACGAGCATCCCCGTTCCAAGATCTTCTCCCCTGGGTCCTTCCCCTTGGCCAACCTCATCACGATGGCCAAGGGTGCTCCCATCAATGTCGTCCAGTTGATCCTGCAGCTCCCCAGAGAAGAGAGCCCTTGCCCGGCTGCCCCAAAGGCACGGATCACAGGACAGGCTCCCACACACCAGCCATTTACTAGGACTCAGCACACATCTCACCCTGACAAGAGTTTCTCTCCTGGAAATGTTTTTTTGCCTCACCGCCTTGCTGCAGCTAGTAAAGATGTATGAACAGTTCTGCACCCTCGGTGTTTCAAGACCCTTTGCTCTCTATTCTACCTCTGTTTTCCCAGTCCTTGCTGCATGCTGTGCTCCACCAAAGCCATAGGGAAGGCTAAATCCATGACACCATGCCTTCCACATGCAATTGGGAAGTTATCTGTAAAGACAATTGCCTTCTGTTCAGCAGCAGAGTTGTATCAGAGCCCCAGGAAGAAGACACATTGCCTTGTTTTTCCCTTCCTCCTAAGTGCACCAAACCCTTACCACTTTCCTGCCCGCCATCCATTATAAAAAGCCACAGCCAAGAGATAAGGAATGCGTTTAAAATACAACTATCTCAGCAGCGGGAAGACTCAGCCAGTCCATTATCTGAGCATAGTTGGGTGTCAAGAATGTGTCATTGTTGCTTTCCAAATGCTGAGTTCAATGGTTTAAGTTCCTGTAATGCCGGCGTGACCTCCCCGATACCCAGACAGTCCCAGCAGCCACATTTCTCAACACCAGCAAGGATGGTGTGAAAATATAAAATACAAAAGGGAAAATCGCACCATCCAGTAAACAAGCAAACCAGAACTGTATAACATAGATCCAGCTAACGATCTGAGATACTCCATGCTAAAATACACAGCGGCTTGAAAAGCTCCAGTGGAAATAAAACACTGTGGAGTATTCTCTATGAATCAGCACGATGCCTTTAAAGTGTGTTAGTAAATACCCCAAAACAATTGCAGTGTCCCTGTAAATCCACCAGACTCTTTGTGTAGCTCAGTTCTTCAAAACTGACATAAAAAGGACAAAATATTATCCTGTCCAAAGCCATTTCAAGCACTGAAACATATTACCACTAAAAATCTATTAAATACTACTTGGACTTAAACAGGAACATTAATAGGCTTGTTAAAAACCACCGTGTCTTTGAAACACGTACTGTCTGGATCAGAGGGGTGTAAGAGCATATAAAAGGTTTTTCTCCTCTAAAGGAGAAGAGCTTCATTGTCAATCTCCTGAGAAAAATTTCCCAGCACCTGAAGGTGCAGTAGCTGGACTGGCACACTGTTGTCCCTCCTCACGAGTCAAAAAATAACCATCAAGTCTTTCTTCCATTTCCCTGATGCCCGTACTCCCAAGATGCCATGTTACGTTTCCTGCACTCTACACAAAGCTGAGCTCAGGACAGAGAATTATCACCCTTCAGCACTCAAGCGTTGCCAGCCACTGCTGATTATAAGTAATTAAGGGCGGAAAGGGACGCCATACTGTCCGCTCTCATTTCCATCGTTACAGTTGCGGGTTAACATCTACGTGGGACACGCTTTTAAATCACTAAGAATCATGGCAGATGGCTTATTACAACAGGCAACGTGGGTGGTAAGGGTCCTGAATGCCACCTTTGCTCACTTTGCACCAACATGTAACAGGATATATTCAGTTTTAAGAAAAATGCCAGAATCAGAATTGTTCCAGTCTATTTAATTAGGCCATACACCTCAATGAACTCTCCTTTCACAAAAGCCCAAGCACCAATAAATTATCCCCATATAAAAGACTATCACTTCTGTAGGTCCAACACGCTTCCTTTCCTTCGTGTTTTTCATAAGGCACCAAGATAAATGTTTACTTTGGATTCCTGGGAAAAAGTCTGCCTTTCCCATTACCTCAATGTGAACAGAACACAACGTGGACTCGGACGCAGGGGCCTGAGAAATTAAAAAGCAGGAATTTTCTTTTTCATCAATAAAGGGGAAATTATCAACAGGGCTCCAGAAACCACCAGAATTTACTTGTGTTTCATTTACCCTCGCTAAAGCAATTAGTATAAATATTGCAGTGCGCACAGCTCCATAAAAATGGATCATTCACAAGACATCCATTTCCAATAGCTGGGCTGCTGAGGGCAGCTGAAGTGCCTGACATCTAACACGCTGAAGAGGTGATAAGATTCGTTTTTTTCCCCTCCACTCTTTGAAAAGTTAATTTCTAGAAAGAGAATTTGCTTACTTTCATAAGGCTTCTCCTTTGTTTCCATTTTTTTAATCAACACTTTCTAAATATGAATCCAATGAGAACATCCATCAAGCGCTTAATAGTTTCTACAGCCCTTTTAAACGATTGTATTATGTCCCATTATGAAAACAGACCCAAGTAATCATAGTTTTATTGAGCTACACCATTTCCCCCCTACCTCCTTCTACAGGACAGGGCAGAAACTTCATTTTGACCAAGCAATTTTGATAAAGTCAATGTAAAAACAACAAGGTGAGGTTTTTTTAATTGTACAAAATATTTTTTGATCATAAAGGGTGTTTTCTTTTCCTGGTTTTTACAGAGTCTGCATTTTAAGTAGATTGTAACTATCCACCAGGGATCACCATAAGAAACTCCTTTCACAGAAACACAGGGAAAACAGTAAATGTTAAATCATTTCAAACGAACAGGATGCTTTTTCTGCTTATGCCAGGTACCGAGTTCAGTAACAGGCCAAGGAATCGGAGACACTATGTTCTCTACCACTAGATTTACCGGAGTTAGTCTGACCTGCTTCTGAG